GAAAAGCATAGCTAGCAGGGAAACAGTTCCTGCAGCTAAAATACTGCATGATGGAATTATTCCATTATCGGTCCCTAAGATAAGGACAACCATGAAGAAATAATTCCAACATTGGTCCTCATGAGGCTAAAGTGTGAGTTACATAGGTACATAGTTGAAAGAGACATGCATCCATCAAGTTCAAATACAAAAAAAAAAAAGTCCTGCGCTCAAACTCCCACTACTTTTGCAATGATCATAGTACACAACAGCAAAAACACAAAAAAGGTGTAGCGCTATCTATAAAAATTTGTTTTTACAGACCAAATTGGTATTCCCACAAGAGCTGGTATATTCTGTCGGGAATGTACCTAGAACATAAATTAGAACTCCAATAGTATAATACTGGTTTGTATTAATGTCCTTATATATATTTTATATGGATTAACTCACATTTTCCTGAGCTATGAACCAAGCTCAGGGATAAAAGGCTTGCAGGTCCGTAAAGGCGACCTTCCCTTCTTTGATTTAGATTCCGATAATCTTCTCCGGTATGAACTAGAGCTTAAACAAATAAGTATATATGGTGCAGTATATTCTGTAACAAAAAAAAATAATCCAAAATATTGTGGTAATATATATACTCATAAGGACGGAGCCACGAATCGGCTCTGTATACAGCACGTTGTGTAGTTTGGGACTACACTCCCATATACAGGACACCAATAGCCCAAATAAAATTAAAATTAAAAAAAATCTTTATTGGGTGTTTACATTAAATTCTAATGGCCAATGTGACAAAGTGCCCTTTGTCACTTGTGCCTGGAGAGGACTAATTGCCAGCCTCCTGCCCTGCGACTATGGCCCCTGGAAGATTTTGCCCTTTAAATACGTTTTTTTGGGCATAGTGGATTTTATTAGACTGGTTCTGGCCCTTTAAATGCTCTGACAAAGGAACTGCAGTTTTGCTATGCACTTCGGATGCAGAGTGTAAAGAAAACCCTGTTTTATGGACTTAGTTTGACTGTTTTATTCCCCTCCCTCCTAGAACACCAGTTTAAACCCTTAATAACTGTCATATTTTCAAACACTGTCTGAACTTAACTGTCAGTTTGTTTTCTCTCTGAGGAGGAGTTGTTTTGCTGCATGAGTGCTGTTGCTTTGTGTGCTCATTAAACAGACCTGCTTGACCCTTTCTTGAAGCCTTGGCTCATGCTTGGGGGATGGGATAAGTCTGCAGTGCTGATGGTGTCGGTTGGAGTGCTTGAAGTCCTCGGCAAGCACTAGGAGCATCGATTGGCGGAGGTACTCGGTCGGAGTGCCAGCGGGTCCGTCACAGCCAATAAAAAAATAAAAAAACAACAATAATATAACAAAGTAAACAAATAAAATACTGTCAATATGGGCATTGAGGTGATATGTAGAGTCCCCAGGACGCGTTTCGCCGAATTCCTTTTGGCTTCCTCAACTAGGTGAGTCTCTCCAATGTAATTCTCCGTCTGTCTGGAAGTCCTGCTTATATACCTGTATGTAGATGAGGGCGTGCTGTAAAGTGGTCCAAATTTCGCGCCAATTACCTGGCGTTTACAGTGGGCGGCATGTGTATTCCAAGCCTCCTTTTCGTGGTTCAATCGCTTCAGCATATGACGTTACACATACGGATTTGTTTTAGTGTGGCTGCCTGCATCGCTCATATTAAGCGATCGTGCACATGTCCATTGTAATAGAGGAAGAGAGAGCATCAATAATCAGATATCAATATTAATTCAATGTTACAATAATGCAAATATTATATTGCCTCTTGGTACATATTGTACATCAGTACTCTAAATTCTTACAATTAGAGGATGAAAATAAAGACACATAAATAGAATTTGGGAATACCAATAAAAGTCGAAATAGAGACAGTTATTAGAAATGTACAAGACTGTTGCAAAGTTTCAAATATTGTCAATTGTGGATACTAATATATATTTGTTTAAAGTTTTATTTAATCAATTCTACCTTCGTGAATTTAATAGGGTATATATCTATATTTATCATTTAATCGCAACCATTTAAAAGAAGAGTATATATAGACCCTTCATAAAACAAATAAATAAGAAAGGAAGGGCTAAAAACAAAAAAAGTCACATATACATGAAAGATAATATATATAGCTAGAAAAGCTACAATTTCTGGTGAAATTGTGTGAAGTGTTCTTGCCTCCACCAGTAGTCTACAACTGGAGTGGGCGGAGTAACTGTTATCATTTATATAGCACATTTAATTGCAACGTTGTTGCACAGTTACATTAAACCATACATTTATAAAAACATTAGCAGGTGTTCAAAAGGCCCTGTCTATGACATCACTTGCTGCTGCAGCCTGGCACAGGTCAGAGTATTTTGGCGGTTGCCATCTTCAAACGGTCATATTTTAAAAACTATAAATCCTACAGCGAAGAGCTTTATATTGTGAGAATCACAAGACCCAGACCTACATTTTGATGCATGTCTCTGAAGTATTAAAAGTGAAGGCACAGTCGCAGTTTAGAAATTGCACTTCAAATTTGAGCTTTGTAGAGTGAAGTTTCAATGAATGTCAATGGACGGCATTAGTTGCAAACAAATGATTATATTGTGAAAACTATCAGGACTATGGCTTAGCCGTTGACATGTTTAGTGGCAGCAGGGATAGCTGAACATTTTGATATAAGATTTGTGTAGGTGGGCCTGAAAATAAGGGAGTGGTGGCAGTTTAGAAATCATGTCCTGATTTTTCAGCTTTTGCCAGCTCCCACTCTAGCTTTGCCATTCATTCCTATGGGACAAATTTCGCCACAAGAACGACGATATTCCGTGAACCATTCGGCGAAACGTTCCACAAAGTAATAGCAATCCGATCGGGAACAATCTGCACGTTTTGGTAAATTTTTGTCTATGTAGTGTAAAAACTGTGGGAGGAGTTAGGGTGGCAAATTTGGCTATAATAAGAATAATATATATGTGAGATAACATTAAGTGGTCTTGCTATGCAAGAACACTTAATAACTCTGGTGAAATTGTGTGAAGTGTTCTTGCCTCCACCAGTAGTCTACAACTGGAGTGGGCGGAGTAACTGTTATACTTTATTTAGCACATTTAATTGCAACATTGTTGCACAGTTACATTAACCCCTTAAGGACGGAGCCAAATGTACACGTTGTGAACGAAACAAAATGTAAACAAAACCTGGCATTTGCGCTACATGTCTGTCCAACCGTAATTCACCTCTTTCATAGTAAATGCACCCACCCTTATTATATATCATTTTATTCAGGGAAACAGGGCTTTCATTTAATATCAAATATTTAGCTATGAAACATAATTTAATATGAAAAAAATGGGAGAAAATAAGATTTTTTTTTTTAGTTCTACATGACATTTTAACGGGTCAATGTCATAATACTGTTTGCTTTTACTGCAATAAAAATACATATTTGTATTCAGCAAAGTCTCACGTGTAAAAACAGTACCCCTATGTACAGGTTTTATGGCGTTTTGGGAAGTTACAGGGTCAAATATAGCACGTTACATTTGAAATTGAAATTCGCCAGATTGCCGCGTTGCCTTTGACTGTATAGTAGCCCGGGAATGAAATTTACACCCATAATGGCATACCATTTGCAATAGTAGACAACTCAAGGTATTGCAAATGGGGTATGTCCAGTCTTTTTAGTAGCCATTTGGTCACAAACACTGGCCAAAGTTAGCGTTAGTATCTGTTTGTGTGAAAAATGCAAAAAAACGCCAATTTTGGCCAGTGTTTGTGACTAAGTGGCTACTAAAGACTGGACATACCCTGTTTGCAATACCTTGGGTTGTCTACTATTGCAAATGGTATGCCATCATAGGGGTAATTTTCATTCTTGGGCTACCATAGGGTCACGAAGGCAACGTAACCAATCTGGCGAATTTTAATGTGAAAAAAATGAAACACAAGCCTTTTTTGACGCTGTAACTTTTGAAAACACCATAAAACCTGTACATGAGGGGTACTGTTGTACTCGGGAGACTTCGCTGAACACAAATATTTGTGTTTCAAAACAGTAAAAAGTATTGCAGCAATAATATCATCCGTGTAAGTGCTGTTTGTGCGTGAAAAATGCAAAAAACTTCACTTTTACTGGCGATATTATTGTTGTAATACATTTTACTGTTTTGAAACACTAATATTTGTGTTCAGCGAAGTCTCCGAGTAAAACAGTACCCCCAATTTACAGGTTTTATGGTGTCTTGGAAAGTTATAGGGTTAAATATAGTGCTAGCAAATTAAATTCCCTATACTTTCGGCATGGGTTGTCAGGCAGGTCCCGCTAATTGTAATTAATTAGATACCTAATTATGTAAAAATATTACATAAATATATGTGTAGAATTAATATATGTATATATATACATATGTGTATATATACATATATATATATAATTTTTTTAAATATTTTTATTTATATATAGGTGTGTATATATATAGTGATATATACGTATATATTTATGTATATAGATATATATATTATTTCGTTCTACGTGTATTTTGATATAAATATATATATATTAATATCACAATACAGTTAGAACGAAATAACAAACATCTATATATTTTTTTATTATTTATTTTTAATTATTTTTTTTATTTTATTTTTTTACGTATTTACATTTTTTATATTATATATAAATATATATATAACAATAATTATATATATATATATTTAATCAGTATTAGTCTACATGTAATTTGATAGTAATATATATAAATAATTATATATATTAATATTTTAAATACACTT